TCCCTTCCGACCCTAGAAACTATGAGACTATGAAACTATAATTTGTGGCATTCTTGCCAAAAAGGGTGGCTCCCACTGGCTTACAAGAAGCACCCATAACCTACTTTAAAATAATGCTGCTTAACAGGTGAACATGCAACAGACTTTCATCCTTCCACTTCTTGTAAAAGAACTCTCTTATGAAAAAGCCATTAAGAAACCAGCAATGAGACTTTGTAAAGACGGCAGTGTTCTATAACTCACTAAGAACTACTAAAGTAAAATATTTTGTGCTGTGTGAAAAATGTGAGCTGTCAGATGCTCAAGGATTTTTATAGATGAATGAGGTCTGTTACTTTGAATGCTCAACCATCATTTCGGGAATACACATGCAATATTTGATATATACTTTCTGAAATGTCATTTTCCACAGCCTTCTATAAAGATTAAAACCCTCTTTAAAATTCTGTTTAGGTAGGAGACTAAAAGACTAGAACGCATCTTAACATAATTCATCCAAATAAAAAAAAATAGGTCATCAATACCCATGTACCTAAACAAAGTTTAAAGTATATAGGTGTGATTACAGATAGCCAATCAGATTACTACCAGAAAAGTATTTTGTAAAACCAGTGCTTAGCTGGGAGGAAATAAATGGTAGATTCCCTTGAATCAAAACAAATGAAAATATACAGCTGTTTAGAAGCGTTTAGTAATAGTACATGGAGTTTAAACCAGGAAATTAAAAAAGGGAACCCTGTAATCAATTGCCACTGAAAGTGAAATTTATGAAAACAGAACATGATTACCCAAGTTAAATCTAGTCAGACTTGTCGTATTAGCTCCCATGTTCTCTTGAAAAGATCAGAGACTGTCAAGACCTTGGTTCTACACTTGACCTGAAAAAATTAACATCCTAAAACAGGGCACCTCCTATTGCTGCATTAAGGCCTTGGTTCAGTATGTAGGAAGGCAAAATTCCTAAGAATATCTAAATGTCTACCTGGTCCAACCCTACTTACAGCACCTTACAATATGGGATTACAGAACGAAGTGGTAGGGCTGTAAGGCAGTTGCAAAGTTAGAAGATTAAAACCAAGTTATAAATAGTACCAAACAGGTATAAAAATATGATAAATTGTTTGACTAAAAGGCAAATCAACCCACACATAAAAAACAAAGTGCTTTGTTGACAAAACTATATAGAATGTAAAATTTTTAACTTACCGAATCCAGAAAGCAGAGATAGATCCCTGAGCTCTGCACTACTGCTTGGTTTTTAGCAAAGCCAACTGTTAAAAAAGTAAAAAGATAATGTCTCAAAATTGTAGTTTATTTGTTTAGTGTGTTTGTTTGTTTATACTGTAGTCAAACCAAATGAGAGAAATGAGTAAAGATCAGTATTATGGAAAAAAAAGATTCAGATGAACCTGTGTTAAACTAGAATCTTTCAAGTATTTAAGCTACCTGGCTAGTCCAGTTCTGTTCTTTCAATGAACACGAATCAACAGTGTTGGGATCCAATCACTAAATTCCTCATGCTGCTAACCCCCCACCCTGTCCCCTGTTCAAATCTGAGCAATAACAGATTACTTTTCCTAGTTCAAAAATCATTTAAACACATTCTGCAGGTGCAGATACCATGTCTAACATTCTTTTTAAGCAGGACCCAGAAGACTGGCTACCTAGATCCTGGGACTGGTACCTTAGTCTTCTCAAGACCCATATGAATGTACAACTGCAAGCCTTATTCTTCATGTGTAAACTGCATACTTTATGGTATTAGGGCTAAATGCAAGATCATCAACCAGCATGTATAAAAATTTTTATATAATTTAAAACTATTACTCTTCCTCATATATAAGCCATGTGAGGAAAGGCTGAGGGATCTGAGACTCTTCAGCCTGAAGAA